ATCGGCGAAAATGGTGTATGCCTCGCACTCAATGCTTGAACAGCTGCAATGCCCGCAAGCAATGGAAGACGGACATCAGACAGCCGCTGCCGTTACGAGTGAGGCGAACGTTTGACTGGCAACTGGCAGCTTGCCCTCGCTATTTCGACCCAGGTGATGCTGCGCACTCAACAGGGTCGCGGCCATTTTATGGAGGTGCAAAGAGACCCCGCTTTCAAGGGGGCAGATTGTAGCTATGATGGCACTCTGGATGTCGCAAGTATTGTCGACAGGATGGCCCTTGTCAGCTTCCCCCACTTGCGTTGCGATGGGTCAGAATTTAATGACCTTCAAATGCCACCGACAGGCCAGGCAGACTGGTACAGACAGCGTGGCTCGATTTCAGATTGCAGTTGAGGACACAGAAGAGGGCAGCGGTTGCCATGATCCAGCTCGCTCTTGCCGATGACGAAGCTGATGCGACTCGAGAAGAGGCGGAAGCGGAGATGAGAGAGATTCGGCTGTACTGACCTCAATTGAGACACTGACGGTCCGCCTCAGCCAACTGTAACAACTTGCAAGTGTGGCACCAGAAAAGCTAACCGATGGCTATGATGACTGGCACCGCTTCCATCGAACGTGCAAAAGACAAAAGACCCATGCAAGGCCGGCAAACATACATCCCGGCAAACATACATCCAAGACCATCTCCGTCATGCATACACATAGAACCTGTGTAGTGGTTTGGAACAAATGTTAGAAATTACCACTTAACTTTGAAAGTTGACGCCAAAACCCCCGTTCAAAGTTAGGGGGTACCCCACTGTATATTGCATGTCCACAGAATGGCGATACACCACTGCACGGGGCCTGCTATAACGGTCATGTCAAGCTGGCGGAGATGCTGTTGAAACACGGTGCTGATACTAAAGCCAAGGACAACGTCAGTACGGTATCTCCCTCCCCCCCCTTCACCCCCCCCTGTGATGGTGCACCTGTACCCCATGATGATGATGATGATGATGATGCTGTACCTGTACGCCATGCTGATGCATCATCCCACAGGATGGCATTACACCACTGCACTGGGCCTGCATCGACGGTCATGACAAGGTGGTGAAGATGCTTTTAAAGCACGGTGCTGATGCTAAAGCCAAGGACATCGTCAGTACAGTACCTCCCTCTTCCCCCCT